ATTCACTGTAAACACCGGCTTCACAGGGCTTATTGCTTTATTTGATAATTTGTATAGATTTAATTTATTTCTGAAAATCTAAAAATTTTTCCTTTAAATTTTCCATGTCTGAACTTGACCAGAGCAGACAAAATGATCTTTTACAAACCATTTCACATTTGTATATATTTGACAAATATGTAAAGATTTTCTTTATTTCCATGTCTGATTTTGTCCACAGGGACTGCGTGTCGGGAGAGCCTCCAGGATTGACGTGTCTGACCTTCGTTCTCATCTTTGATGGGGAAGCAGAGGATGTTTCTCGTCCTGAAGCCCGTGCTGTCGTCCACACCGCGGTAAAACAGAGGGTGGGAATACGCATCCTTGATGTTGAGGATTTTCCCAGTGGTGGCCACGTGACCAGCGATGCCCTGATCCGCCGGGATACGAAACTCCTTCTGCTCAGAGATGGAGAGAGAGAGCACTGCTTAATTGGGATCAGGGGTGTGCGATACGATGACTTTTAATCATGGACAATTTAAATGTCTCCACGATCTGCTTTTGAAGGAATATCGCAGTAACAGTTCTGGAGCCTCCATCTCAATATACTGTACAACGCCAAAAACAATCACATCAAATGTTACTCAGCGGTAGAGTCACACTCACAGGACACTGCACTTATTCACAATCACAAAAGTGCATTATTTGCATGTGCTTTAACCTGTTAACTGTCGGTTCCACTTTTTGAGCATAGACCTGAAAATGTTATAAATTTTGAATGTTTTGGACCACAGACTTAAAAGAAGACACTTGGCAGATTATTGTAGAAGTGAAAAAAAGTTATAAAGATTATATAACAAAAAAGTTATGGAAGTGTAAATGAATGAAAATATAAAATGTAATAATTTAAATATTTATATTTTATATAAAATGTATATTTTACAAAACATGTTTTACTCTAAAGGTCCTTGCACACTGAGTCCGAAATTTTCGCATGCGTTTTTCCATTTTTATTTTTTTTTCGTATTCGTCATGCTTTCCTATCAAAATGCATGCTACGGATGCAAAAACGCAGAAAATCTGATCCGAATTTTTTTTATGACGGACGAAAGTTTCGGAGGCAGTGTGTAAACGTGATTGACACAACGTGAGGTCGTATTTATTTTTTAACCTCTAAAGGTCCTTGCACACTGAGTCCGAAATTTTCGCATGCGTTTTTCCATTTTTATTTTTTTTTCGTATTCGTCATGCTTTCCTATCAAAATGCATGCTACGGATGCAAAAACGCAGAAAATCTGATCCGAATTTTTTTTATGACGGACGAAAGTTTCGGAGGCAGTGTGTAAACGTGGTTGACACGATGTGAGGTCGTATTTATTTTTTAACGTGCGATAATTTCGGACGAAGTGTGCAATGACCTTAAAACTGCTATAAAATCAAAACCAAAATTCCGAACAGGTTATGTTCCAAATTTGAGGTTGATATCTGAAAAAATGAGATTTCAGTGAGATTTTGTTTGGGCGTAGTACCAAGCTTTTCCACTAGATGACCTTCAAACCCCATTAGTAACCATTTAAGGGCGCCTTCATTTCCATATATGGTTTGAGTGATCTGAAACATGTTTTTCCATACTTTTCCCAATATTTATGCATGCTATAATATTTATACATGCTACGAGAACCTTGGACTTGCGTTATAGTTCACGATGCATCAAAAATTGAGAATCTGTTGTTTTTTTCTATATATTCAAAACACTTTTAGACCTTTTTTTCTCAAAAATAGAATGGATGTTATCTTTTGAACACTCTCCATTAAAAAGAATAACGATTTTTACAGATTTTTCATGATTTTATATGTGCATCACTATTTCAAAGTAAAGGTCAGAATGCACTCTCTGACTCTGACAAAACTAGAGTCTTTAAGCTTTTAAAAGATATATAGTTTGTCAAGATTACTTTAGGTTCAGACTAAGATATTACTGTTTGAAACATGTAATGGTAAGTGGGCCCACCTGTGACAGTTAGCAGGTTAAATCCTTGCCGGTTAAACATTTAATTCGCGTTCTGTTCTGACATGCGCTTTTTCTGAGCACACACACTAAAAATCCTGTCAAACAGCAGCTGACTACTGGACTGAGTTATCTTTCACGTCTGATTGTGCTAATACTGTCAAAAACACACAGGGTTTACATATAAACACAGCTGGTTATGTCTAAAGTCAAAGTAAACAGTTGAGAGAAACGGATGCGTGTAGCTCTTAAAGTGACAGCAGTCTAATAGTACTAATGCTGCCGCTTGTCATTAAAGGGACAGTTCACCCAAAAATTAAAATCCTGTCATTATTTACTCACTCTCATGTTGTCCCAAACCTGTATTAATTTCTTTCTTGTGCTGAACACAAAAGAAGATATTTTAAAGAATGTGGACAGTAGGAAAAAAAATACTATGGAAGTTCCTTGCAACCAGCAGCTAATTGGTTCCCACATTCTTTTATAGCTTCTATGTTCGTCAGAAGAAAGAAACTCATTCAGGTTTAAAACAACTTGAGAGTAAGTAAATGATGGCAGGATTTTGGCTGAACGATCCCTTTAATGTTAATAAAACAACAAAACTTTAAAGAACTTTCTAAAAGAACTTTAATACAGTAATCATGATGACGTTTTTTGAAAAGGTCCATTACATTTTTTTTTTAACTAAATTGAACTAAACTGAATCAATTTGAACTAAACTGATCTGAATAATAACACTTCTGTGTTCTGTAGAGCTAAATCTGCTTCATAATCGGTCAATTTTATTTTATTTTTTTATTATTAGAAATGTTATGTTTATTTTTAACCACTTTTATGAAAAGCACTTTGATATATATATAATTGAAACAAAATATACTTCAAATAATGAATTAATATAATAATAATAATTTCTCTTTTTCTTTCTTATTTTTTTCTATTTGTTTTGTAGGTTTTGCTGTATAAGAGTTTTTTCACAAATCACAAGTCTCCCCCCAGTCTAAATCCATATCCCTCCCCCCCATATTTTTTGGTGTATTATTTTTTTTATTATTATTGTTTTTTTTTGTTTTTTAATAACTTTTATGAACAATGCTTTGAATGAACAGTGTATGATTTTTTTTTTATGTACTTGTATATGCCCAAAAGGAGGTTTTGTGTTTTTTTTAAGGATGAATTTGCCTTTTTTTGGTATTAAACTAAGTTGAATCAGCACTGAACTAAACTAAGCTGAATAATGACACTGCTGTCTTCAGCAGAGCTGCTTCACAGCTGCATTCGCTTTATAATCAGTGAATTTTACAATATTAACACAGTTATTTTCCTGTTTATTACTGTGAAGCTGCTTTGAATGGATCTGTATTGTATAAAGCGCTGCATGTGATTTGACACAAACCTCGTCATCGTTCACGACTCCTCCATCAAACACTTTGGCCACGAGCTCATGACTGAAGTGATCCAGCAGGAACACAGAACAACTGAGAGAAAGACAGAGAACGCGCTAAAACAACACTCAACCCATAATATCCGTGTTTCAGCTCTGTCTGCATTAGACTTGTAAATATGTAGAGTGTGTGCTTTTGATTAAATGTTACAATATTTGATTGGAGTTAATTGATATTTATGAGGCTGCTGCTCTTGCCATGCTAACAGTCTGGAATTGGTTTGGACGAAGCCCAAAACTATCAAACCCATAATGAAGCCTGTGTTTGTGCCTCACATCTCAGCGTTGCTCAGGTTTCTGGCCTCTATGATGATCTCCTGCAGTAATACAGACACGTCATCTGAACGAGAGACAGAGAGAGAATGATGTTACACAGTGAAGCTGCTTCATCACATGCATGCCTGTAACCCTTTTTTAATGTCGACACAAAACAGCATTTGATTTCTGTAATGCGACTGGAATTATATTATTGCTGTAACACTTTACAATGAGTTTACACTTTAATGCATTAACTAACAATGTGATGCACTATTTATTAATCTTTGTAAACATTACTTAATAAAAAACAACATTGTTCATTGTTAGTTCATGTCAGCTCAGGTCCATTAAATAATAATAATCAATGCAATGCAATTGAAATCAATTCAATTCATTTCAATGCAATGCAATTCAATTCAAAGCTGTTTTATTCAATTCAATTAATTTCAATCCAATGCAATGCATTAATGTTTAAA